GGCCCCCCCTTGCTGCTGCTGTCAAGCTAAGCTGGCAGCCTGAGACAGAGCACAGGAGCTCTGATAGAACTCTTGAGGCAAAGGCCTTCAGCTGAAAGCTGCCCAAGATGTTCTGACTCAGGGGTGAATCCCCTGAGGAAGGGACCTTCATGGGGGGTCTTACACCCCATGATATGACTGTGGTGACGTGAGTTTTGTCCCTGCTATGCAGTGCACGGAAGAGAAGACCCTCGCTTGAAGACAACGGGCCGAGGGGCTTGGATACCCCCTCGTGTGTACTGGCAGAGATCCAGATACAGCTGCTGCATGAGAAGAAGAGAACCTGCTGCCTTAGAGACATTGCTGCTCTGAAAGTGGAAAGGATCTTCCTTCTTCCCTCCTGGATTTTTATTGGGAGGGGAGAAGAGATTTGATCCATTGTAAATACTTATGTCTTGGTAGAGATAGCTAAGATTGTATATAATGTATTGTAGTATTTATTTGTACAGTCATTGTAATATATATTCCCTTTCCCTCCATTTTGAGTCTCATGTGGTGTCTGGAAAACCCATCTCACATTGGGTTGAGATGTGGGAGGGGGACTTGGACTAGGGAATTAGATTTTGGAGCTCTCAAACCATGACAACTGTGTACACCCACCAGGGTTTTTCTTTCCTCTGTGCATCTGTGCCCCCTCTTTTGTCAAATTCCACCTGGAAGATCTTCAAAAACCCACAAAACCTGAACCTTGAGTCATTGTTTCTGCAGTAGAAGACTGTCTTTTAGAAAAGCTTTGACCTCCTCTATACACATACCCATATTTAATTTCTGTTCTGTGTCTAAATTCTTGTTTAGAGAAGTATAATCCTACTGGTGTTTGACTTCACTGTTCACAACAGTGCAAGATATACCCAGTTGAATTTGGTTTGTATGTCAGATGATGACGAATATGTTAACACTGTGAAGGGAGGGGTGAGTGTGTTTACTTTTTTCTTTTCTGTGTTAGTCTTTTGCTAACCACTCTGTATGCTAGTCAGCATATTTTAAAGGAGCAGGATGAACATTCCTTAATTCTTTGTTTTAGGCTAAAATGTTGTAGTTTATTCATGTGGTTACCCAGAGTGTAAAAATGAGCTGAAGAATGGAAAGTAGTTGGTAGGAATCAGCAACAGTTTAGAACTGTTGTAGCTTTCATTTGTTTAATTTTCTTATTTTCTTATTTTATAAAAAGAGAATGGAATAATGGTGTAGTGAAAAAAAAAATGATTGCTTTGTTCCTTGAGGTCCCTAAGTGCTTTGTAATTAAGGTGAACACTTTAAAAAAAATGCTTTAAAGAAACAGTGTCGTGACTTTTAAAAAATTTTTATTATTTCCTGGTATAAGCAGATTTTCGTTTTCTTTCTCATTGAGTAGTTTGACAGTTGATGATGCTTTTACTAGCAAGCTATTTTTCAAATACTTGAATTATTTAGTGTGTTTTATAGAAAACTCAAAGTTAGTGCCAGCAGATAAAACTTTGATGGGTAAAGAGGAATTTGTAGGCACCTGTCTGTCTGTCCAGTTCTCTTCTTTGGGTAGGGTGCTCTTGGGAAGTCCTTTCTCAAATACATGGGATTGCAGTTTTTCTTACTCCTCAGTACAAGTAACTAACGTAGGACACACATTTTGGCTTAGAATATATTGGTCTTTCTACTTCTAGTTCTTTTTAATAAAGAGGACGCTCATCCAAAGCCTTTCTCTGTTTCAAACAGTTACTTTTTCATTTGTGCAGTTGGGAATTATTTGTTAACATCCGGTGTTCCCTGTTCAGGTGGTAAGACGGAGCACTCCAGACTCAGCACTCAACAGAAATTGTTGCTGTTGTTGACACTCGTTTGCATACAAGCACAAAAACCTTGAGCACTGCCTTAGAAGTGGCTCCTGTGCAGGAGCAGCAAGTGGAACCTTGTTACAGTAGGGGCTGCTTTTCAGAGGCAATTTCCTTGCCTAATGGAAACGAAGAAGATACCTCTTCACTGAGCTTTTTTCCTCACTACTTTTATAAAGTACATGCAAGCACACACCAAAAGTGTGGCAGTGTTTTATTTTAAAACAGGAATTATATTTTTCAGAAAGACAAGAGGAAGGAGGGGAGACTTTTGAGGAAAACTTCATTTTTCATATTTTTTCCCCTCCTTTGGATTCTAAAGTGGTCTTTGCTGTATTTTTATAGGTAGAAAATGGAAACAGTATTATCATTGTTCTTAAGAACCTCTTCCACATATTAAAAGAGCTGCTGCTGCTGCAAACCTGCATTCACATGCATTCTGCCAAACAGACAAATGTAATGTAACAAAAGCCAGCATAGCCTTTGCTCTCTGCTAATTGAAGCTAGTAAGTCTTTTGTGGGTTCAGCTTTGGCCTGCTGCTGCTGCCTTGATACTACTAGACTGGTAACTCCTGAGTATACTTGTACTGTTTGCTGCCTGTTTAAATCTTTACAGGCATTTTAGGTTACTTTTCAGCTAAGTGACTTACAACGAAGGTATAACCAATCTGAATCTGTATTACCTTTTGAGAATTTTGAATTTCATTCAGTTTTTTTTTACTACAAATTAACTGTCTGAGAATACCAACTAGACCCTTGGAACTTGAATCTTTGTCCCACTACACTGCTCCAGGCTGATGCCAGCCTTTTCATCTCTTATCCCCCTGCCCCAGATGTCGAGACCCTGCTATTCTGGTAGAGGGAACAATTTGATGAAATGAGTGATGGTTCTGCAGTGTTACTGTCTCTGTATTCTAATGCTGTCATCTCCCTTAATAAATCTGAAGTTCTGTGGCTGTGCTTTTTTAGAGCAACTCTCCCCTCTGCCTCTCCTTGCCTCTCACCCCAAAGCGGAGGCAGTAACATCCCTTACTGAGGAGCTCATGCCATCACAGGGGCAGCGAAGACCATGTCAGCTGTCAAATCTTATGACAAGTATGGAATTCTTGTAGGAAAGAATTTAAAAGAGAAGTTGAGTCATGGAGCAATCAATCTGTTGCTTGTTTGTGCCAACAGCAACTTGTGGAATATGGGAATAAACTGATAAAAGCTTTTGAACAGTGGAAATATTTCTGACACTGTGCCAGTTTTCAGGGAATTTAATAACAGTGCTGTCTCATGAACTGCATATACTCATTTGTGCCTGTAGTGCCACAGCTTGAGAGCCTGGAGCATGTCTAGGGACTTGACAAGAAATGTCCATTTTTGCTGTGAACGGTTGTGTCCAAAGTGTGCTGGACTGACCAGTGCTTCCATCTAGTGAGCTCTACTCTTTTGTCTTTTTCTCCTTTAGAAAAAAAACAGAAGATACTATCTCCTACAGTCTTGCAATAAAGCTGTTTGTTCTTACACTTATGCCTGTGGGGTTCTTTGTTGTGTGTTACACATCCCCAAATAAACCCTTTGACATGAAAATGATGTAAACAGACTCCTGGTAGGCTTTTGTGTTCCCTAACCAAAATCTCTTGTCAGAAGAGCACCCTGTGGGCAAGCTCTGGGGTTGGGGGAGGATCACTCGACGATGACATTCTGTGGGCACTGGGGTGAGGGAAACGCAGTGGGCAAGTACATGTTGTACAGAAACATCTTTCCCCCTGAAGGCAAGACCTGTGTGTACAGTCCTGAGGAAAGCCTCAGCCTCCCCAGACTCACCTTCTGAAGAGAAGAGGATGACAGTAGCTTCTCTGCCAACTGCAGACGCATCACGGCTACAGCTTGCTGCTGTTTTCATTCTTAAATTGCTTAATATGGTCATTTTACAGTTACCAAAAATTATGATTTTCACATAACACAGAATATCAGGGTTTTATCTCTGATTGCAGCTAAGGGCCAAGGTTTCCAGCACCACGGGAGAGGGTGTTCATAGTGAGGCTGACAGTTTGCAAAAGGAGTTCTGGAAGGGCCAAAAAAAGGTGGGAGTGGTGAGGAGCTGGAAAGTCATCTAAACTTTTTGTCATAGCAAGAGTTGGTTTGTGTTTTGCCTTTGAGGCTGAGTGGGATGATAAGAGCAGACAAGGAAAGAAAGGAGCATTCAGCCTTATCTGAAGTTTTTCTGTGTTGTACTGATGAACAACTATCCCTGGATACCCTTCTTTCTTTGCTCAGCTGTTTCTGTTCTCATCCCTTCCTCTGCTCTTTTTTTTCAGTGTATGTTTCCCCCTCCCTTCTTTTATGTAATCCTCTTGTGGCCTTGCTGTTTCTTTTGTCTTCTCCCTAGTATGGAAAGGATATTGCCTCTGCTACACTGTTTTTGTTTTCTTGTGTCCTTCCCCATTGTACTTAGCTCTTGTTTAGTTAGTTGCAAGTTCTCCAAGGTCCACTATTTGTTTACCTAACACTGAGCATGGAGAAGTCTTGGTCTTTGGTCTTTAAAAGCTTCTGTAGTATAAATGGTAGTAGTTTTGTCTGTCTTGCATCTGTATTCATCCATGAGAGTATGCTGCTGCAATTTCTTCGCCAGTCAAAGCCATGGTTTGCTCCAGCATGCCTATTGTTTTTCAGTCTCTCTAAATAGTTACCGTAAAGTTAAAAAAAACCAAAACACCCCAAACCAACACCCCCCATGCCCCTGGAAGTGAGAAGGAAATATATAGGGGAAAAAAAGTATCCAGTTGTTTTCTTAAGGCTTGATTTCAATTAAAAAGCCCAAACCAACGCAACACAGCTGTTCCACCAGGCGTTTACTTAGATAGCTGAGACTATTAGGCAGTGTATCTTCCTGTTGTACTATGGTGGTTGTGGCTTAGACACCTGTTTCACTGCCTTACTGCCTACAGATTTTATTAGTTGTGTAGTAATAGGCAAGTTCTTGAAACTTTTTTGCTACTTAGTGACTTGCAGACGAAGACTGGAGCTAGCACTGAAGCAGTTACAAATGCTGGAAAAAAACCCATTCATTTTGAATTTAATATAATTTTGTTTCAGATTTTCTTCCTTCACTCTGATTTTTGATAACAAATTTGTCATCACTGTCTCTCACTCTTTCTGTTGCAGTTTTGCCAATTTGAGAATTCACCCTCATGGATTAGTGTTGGTGGATCTGCAGAGCTACAATGATCATATTAAAGGAAGAGAGGAAGTTGATCAGGTATGAGTACTGCTTGTCTTACTAGACTTACCTAGCTGCATGGGAGACCCTTCTTCAAGTCTATCAAAATATATCTTGATAAAAGGTTTTGAAATATTAAAGTCAGTTCAAACCTGAATGCTTACAGATGAGGAACCGTAGCAGCTGTTGAAGTTGCATAAACGTGTCAGTGCATGCACACACACACACACACACTTTTTTGCATGTACTGGACCTTGTGTTCTTTGATGTAAAAGTTCTAAAGCTGTAACAGCTTTGGTTAGGGCTTGGTTCTCTTTAGGTACCCAGGGCAGTGAGGGAGAAGTGATGCTCAACCTGCAACCTGATGTATTGGTGTATGACGTTTTTTCCTTCTCTATTCTGAGAGATGTGGAGCCTCTATATTCAATCTTTTTCCCCATGGAGAAAAAGAACTTCATCTTCCCTTATAAGAAGGCTCCAGACATTGGATATTGCAAAGGAATAGGCCTCTGCTTTAGCAGGAATGGAACCTCAAACTTCTCATGTCCCCCTTCTGGCTCTGTTGTCCTAGGGAAAGCTAAATGCAGTGATGACAGCTGCTATAATATGCACATTCTTGCGAGTAACCAGGCTAAGGGGCCAGCGAGTTACTCATGGGCTTCTAGTGTTACATTTCAAAGCCTTTCAGTGCAGGTGCTACTTTTTATTGCCTTCCAGGTAGCCTAATTTAACAGATATTTTGCATTAAGTGATCACCTACAAATTCCACCTCTTATTTGCTGTTTTTTCCAGCTTCTAAACAAAGTAGAAGAAAGAATGAAAGAACTGTTTCATGGTAATATAAAAAGGGTGAAACGGTAAGTTTGTGCCTCTGCTTCTGTATGTGGCTTGTCTGCATAGTTACTAAAGATAATAAACACATTATGCTTTGCTGTACTGCAGTGAATAGCCTGGAGGATGAATTTATGCATAGTTTTTTTCTTCCCAATATTTTCAAATTGTTTTATTGCAGAATTGAAGGTATTAGGGGGGTTGTCATTTTGTTAAGCCTTCATCTTTGGTATTGTTACTTACAGGACAGGGATTTTTTTTTTTTATTTTTATTTTTATTTTTTTTAGTTTGATGCAGTGGTTGCATGAGATAATGTGAGAAAAGGCAACCAGGATGCAAGAGTAGACTGCTCTGGAAGGGCTGGGAGCCAAGGGTGTCAGGGGAGTAGGCCAAGGCATAAACTGTACCCTACAGGCCACATCCCACGGCTCATGGAGAAGGTGAACAGGACTGGTGATGGTGACCAGGATCAGAGCCAGTTCTGTGTCTGTCAGACTGGGATGTAGTACTGAGGCAGTTCTGACGGCAAACTGGGTGTAAAGGATTGGTGAAAGACCTGTGCAAGTGGGGACATGGACCACGAGCAAGGGTTAGAGCTAAAATGAAGCTCAGGCCTACCCTGGAGGACACCCTACCCTGACAAGATTTCCTACAGCTCTTTTACAAATCTGCATCTGCTATGCCTCATGGTGCTCATTGTGGGCTTGTGTGGCAAAAACCTTGGTGGAACCTGTGTGCTTATGGACTTGCCAAGAAGATAGAAATGTTTTGTAGCAAATATTTGTAATATAACTCATAACTGAACAATGGAGGCTTTGCAAGCCCTCTGTCAGTTTGGATTGCTTAAAGTCAAGGCTAAATATTAAACTTTAAGGATTCAAATCATGGCTCGTGACCTGCTGCTGAAATAACATTCATGCTGGAGGTGACTCACATTGTCTTTGTGGCTGTCTGGCAGCAACTGACACCTTGAAGCCAGGGAGCACTTAATGCAGGCATGCACTTGGTGGAAGGTGCAGTGGGTGCTTGAAGGAACAGAGAAGTGGAAATAAGTTAAGAAAACTAAAAAACAAGTGTAAAACCAACAAGATTCAGTAAAGCCAAGGAGCCTGCAAAATGGGAGAGCAGTTAAGCAGTCTGTAACAGTTCAATACTACAACAGAAAGTAATCTGAGACCACAAGTAAAGTGGTAGTGATTTGAAAAGTGATGTTATACCTTGAATATTGTTATTTCTCTTTAACAGTTGTGTGTAAAACAGAGAAGCGGTTATCTTGCTTTCCTTCAACCTGGTAAAGCCTCATAAGGTGCATAGTGTACTAACATAGATGATCTCATGTATGTCTTTATGGGGAAGAAGCTCTCTGAGGATGTTTTGATACTGAAATATGATATTGGGAGTTCGTGGAATCTCTGTGATAGGAATTTCTTAAAAATGGGTCAGGACATCATCTGCTTGAAGTGATCTAGATCAGTTGGTTACCTTTTAGTACAGGAAGATGAACCTCCTAGAACAGTGTATCTGGCATGGATCTTGTCACACACCCCTCAACATCTTTTTTCTTTTCTTTTAATTTGTTTTGCATCCTTTCAGTATTAGCTTCATGCATGCAGCTCCACTAGAAATAATGTAGCTGGAAAAATTTTTCCTACCTTTTTGTTGTTTTTAGGTAGTGAGTGGATGATCTTGCTCTCACCTGTGCTGCCATCTTGTGGCTCACTGAGGGTAGGAAGGATTTCTGAAACGTTTGTTGAGAATCACTAGTGAATTTAGAAGCAGCTTGTCTGTGTCTGGTCTTCTGCTACACCCTCCTTTGGAAGAAAACCCTTAACTCTTTGAAGTGTGTGTAGGAAATCTGATGAACCCCGTGCCTGCACATTTTGCCGAAATGCAATAGTTTTGATCGTTCAGAGTAATTTCAAATATAGTTTGTGTTTACAGGTGAAATACTGATTTGAACCAAGAACCAAAAAACCCCACAACACAAACAACAAAACAAAACAAAATCTATGCAGATGATTGAACCACTTTTAAAAAGTAATGCAGACTGTCAGCTGATATCAAGGACTGTGCTTATACAATACAGGGTGACCTAGCTCAGTTTGAAACACTGTAATAATTCACTTTTTGCGTTTCTCTACGTATTAAAATGTCTCTCAGTACAACTTGAGAAGGGTGAGATCCACTAATCTCAAAGAAATGAGGTTCTTAGCTGAGCTAAAGGTGGGAAGAGGTTTTGTCATGTTTTTTTATCTGCATTCTACTTTTGTATTGTATTTTATTTGTAGTTGAGCTGATTCTTCTAAAGAGGCTGATATGTTATGTAAATTCACATGCACATTGTAGAAGTTGTACATAAAGAAGAATCATTTATGTCATCTGTGCCTTAGCAAGTTATGTATATTTATTATGTATATTTATGGCTGATAGGCTTCTTCTGTCTGTTGAGTGTTAAATGTGGCAAGTTTTCTTAGATCTCTCTTGTAAATATTATTTATTTATTATGGTGAATCCACAGAATGTTTAAAGTGGACTTCTAAAAAGATGAACATGCCAAATGTTTTGTAATCTTTTTTCTTTCTATTTCTTTCTAGGTTGCCAGCCATTTTGAGAGGAGGTGTCATTGATAGATACTGGCCCACAGCTGATGGGCGCCTGGTGGAGTATGACATAGATGAAGTTGTTTATGATGAAGATTCACCTTTTCAGAATATTAAAATTCTACATTCAAAACAGTTTGGGAATATTCTTATCCTCAGTGGGGATGTTAGTAAGTATCATCTCATGTGAGGATCTTTTGCATGAAAATATTGGAATGCCATACCTGCTATGGCAATTTTAATAGATGACTAAGGGTCATTGTTCTGATGCTGGAAATTACATATGCTTGTACACATATATCTGTTGCTGTATATTAAGTATGTTAATCAGGAAGGCTGACCAGTGTAAAATGTAGAGTAAAAAATAAGATTTCTTTTCCCGAAGTTACTATCTTTGCTGTGGAAAGTGGCACAGCAGAATAGAAGACAATGTTCTCTAGCAGAGCTTGCTCTACTCCTTTCTTTCATGTGAGCTTTTTCCTGTTTGTTGCCAGTCCAGCCTCTTGAGAGTTTCTCTTTGACAGTAAAACAAGCTACTTTGTTGGTCTTCAAAACACAATGGAATTCTAAAGAAATATGAAGAAATAGGAGCTGGAGTGTGTGTGTGTATAATCCTGCTGTTGCTTTGATTCTCTGAGGGCATTACCTGGTCGGTGAGATCTAGGACAGCTGTATCTCAAACCATTTAGCTGCTTTGTTGTGAACATCTTTTGACTCTTCTTTAAAATGCCCAGCTGAACTTTTAAGTTAAACAACAGTGACCCAACCTTTAAGGGGTTTTGTATGTGGTACTTTGTGCCTGCTGATCTTTGTATTTTTGAAAGTGAACTTAGAAGAAGGTGGGCTACTGTTCTTTTAAGCTGGATAAGACTGCTGTTTACTAGAAATTCTAGGCAGCAAGGAGTATACTTTGTAAAATCTCTCAGTTCTTATGTTGAAAAGTAGTGACTGTGGTAAATGAAGAATGTTGCTGCCTAGGGATAGAATACCTAATTTCACTCTAATAGCAGAGTAATTAAGAAATTTAACTATAGCTTTTTGAAATAACTCTAACAATTCAATTAGCTTTCTGCAACTGTTGGGGACTTCTGTGCAGATGGCAGCTGAAAAGCATTGTTACAGAATACATTAGTAAGGTATTTTCTTATACAGATAGAATTGTGTTAGAAATCACAAAATTAGTTATTTCATACTTCTAGACAGAAATTTTCATCAGACTTTATTTTAATATGGAGATGAGGAATGTTGTCACAATATGCCTCAGAGAAAGGAAAGTGTACCATTGCTTGTTTACCTTCCATGGGATTTTAAAATACTGCTTTGTCTCATTTGGTTACCCTACACTTAGAAGCAAAGTGGTGATTGCCAGGCAGAGTGATAGGATATGCCATGATGTGCTGCTGCACAAAGCTTTGCCCTTGTGGCTCAGGTCTGTTGTTACAGACAACTGTCTGCTTTGAAGCTAATGCTGAACAAGCCAGTGGAAGGCATGCTTAAGGGCCCTTCAGCAGTTGGGTGGTAATGATCATGTTTATGTTTCTGTGCCCGGATCCCCTGGTGTTCGTCTAGGTTGCTCTCTTCAACTGGGGTCCACAGTGGGTTTTCAAAAATGTCCTGATCTGTCTCTTGCAGGACTAGTCGTAGGTAAAAAGCCATTGAAGTATCAAGTGTGGACATCAAATCCTAAGTATTGACAGTTTTGCTCCACCAGTTTTCTTCTCCTGGCACACAGTACTTCCTAATGCCAAGGTAGCCATCGCTGGATTCGCATTGAGAATTAGAGAAACCCTGTTGGGGATTCTGAGGAGGATCCCATTAGTTGGACTGTCTCTGAGAACTATGTTGTTTCTGTAGATGCTCTTGCTTTGGTCTGTATTATATTACCTTTGGATTAATACCAGTTAATGAGAAGAACTAAAGATGTAATATTTCTCTCCAACTCTTTCTCTTCCTTTCATTCAGATTTGGCAGAAAGTGACCTGGCATATACTAAAGCCATAATGGGCAGTGGAAAGGAAGACTACACTGGGAAAGAAGTGCTAATCCTAGGAGGTGGTGATGGAGGTATACTATATGAGATAGTCAAACTGAAGCCAAAGATGGTTACTATGGTAGAGATATCCTTTTACAAATGGGCAATCATTCATTTCCACATTTTTCAGACTGCATTTCTGCTGGTACCATAGCACAGTTAACAGTCAGGTTCTGATTTGCGTTAGGAAATAGGGTCTAAAATAAAATTTCATTTTGTCAGCTTACATAAACCCATTACTGGGGGTGACTACATATCTGTGCATCTTTGTGTAGCACCTGCTTTCAAGTTCTATAGCTCTTTGAGTAGCGGTTTACATAAAACTGGAAAGGAACACTTCTGTCATCAGACTGATGCTTTCTCTGATAACAGAAGACAGGTCTGTCAAGTCTATGGTTTGGGCTCAGTTCTGCCTTCCCGAATTCTTCAGTTTTCTAAAGAAAGCTATAAAAAATAGTGCCTAGAAGCAAAAAAGTTCAATCAGTAGCAATGTCAGGACTTAATGAATTGTATTGGTGGCAGAATGACCAACCCTGTTTTAAAAATACCAATACAAATAAAGCTTTCAACATTCTTAGTTTGTAATGCAAACTACTGTTAGCTGTTTGAAATACTGATTACCCTGGGTTTTAGGATCCCTTTGCTAAAATTGAAAATAATTGTTTTAATAATGATTTTAAATAATTGTAGATTAAAGTCTTAACCTAGTTTAACTTTGTGGGTGTTTTACAGTTTTACAGTTCACATTTCAGGCTTTCACAGTGATGATAATCTAAGGTATCAAAAATACTGATTGAAACCAAGAATAAGCCATTCCTAAACCTCTAACTGAATCTGGAGGGCAATCCGTAAGGTTGGCTATTGCAATATGTATGCCAATAGACACGTCTTATTATTCCTTTGTGAATGGCACCTTCTTGACAATTTGTTTCTGAAGAAATAGAAAGTGTTGCCTCTGTTATTTCTTGAATGTACCATGCCTTAACAAGCTTCAAACATTGACCAAATGGTGATTGACGGGTGTAAAAAGTACATGCGTAAAACATGCGGAGATGTCTTAGACAATCTGAAAGGAGAGTGCTACCAGGTAATGCTTTGCTTTTCTTTCAGTAGGAGTAATATTTCAAATGCACTTATACATAGCCTGGAAGACTGCTATGGCAAAGTTTTGGGTACAAGTTTTCTGACTTCTCTTAAATTTAGGAAGCATTTTTTCCTTTTTTATGACACTTTCAAATTTTAATAGCTGGGATTTGTCTTGGAAATATATATTAGCATCAAAATATTTTAACTCTCCATTTTCAGACTTCTGAAATTAATCACATAAATAACTTCTAAGGAATGTGAAACAGCAGAATGTTTGTTACCATAGCTTATGAGTAAAGAGGAAATATCCGTACAAATGTAGTTTTAATCATCATTCCTTATATAATGAAAAGGATAGAAGAAATGTGTATTTAAGTTAGTTGACCTATACTCTTGAAAACATCTGCATTTATAATACACAATTAACAATTGTTTTTAATTTGCATGCAAAATCTCTCTGCTATTACATTAAAAATAATAATAAAATCCGCCCACAAATGTCATGCGTTCCTGCAGTTAAGGTCTTTATGTGCTGGATCTAACAGAACTTAAAAATGTTTTCTTTCTGTTTTCATTACTGTTCCTTAAATGCTCTCACAAATATTAACTTGCAGGAGTGAACTAAAAAAAAAGGCACAAAAAATTAATGGAGAAGTCACACGGTAGTCTTCTTGAGTCAGTGGCCTTTCATACAAATACCTTATTTTACTCGTTTGTTGGGACTAACAACTAACTGCTGTTACCGTGTGGTAGGAGAAACAGTGGTCACCCAGCAGTCAAGGACAGAGCTAGGAGGTTCAGTCCTGGAGTGCCTGTGTTGTCACTGTTATTATTCTTATAGCACTTTCTTCCTTCTATATGATGTAAAAAGTTAAAAATGGAGCATAAAATTAAACATGTATTTAATTTTGTGCTTTTCACCTCTAAATTTCTGTGAATCCACATTTGTTCACTTTTAGGGTATTTTGAGGACTACCTAAAGTATTTCATTCTTACAGGTTCTAATTGAAGACTGTATTCCCGTACTGAAGAGGTATGCCAAAGAAGGGAGAATGTTTGATTATGTAATTAATGATCTGACAGCTGTTCCAATCTCCACATCTCCAGAAGAAGGTAAATCTAATTTATTTTCTTAAACTTTTGGGAACTTTCAACATTTTGTCCCTCTGCTTTATAGTAGTTTGCAGCAAAAGTACTTTGATTTTTTTCCTTTTTAATAGGAAATCTGTTCTTTTTTGAGTTTTTCTTGAATGTTAGAAAAGACTAGCAAGTGTCTAGGACTCTTTTAAATTGTGCTCTTATTCCAGAATAAAATGAAATCATGTAGTTCATTAGAAAATATTCATTAGAAAGTATTAGGAGTTCCTACTCCAGTAAATTTTCTTCACTTTATGATTTCTTGGACATTTCTGGAAAATTACTATGAAGAAAAGTAGCAGTACTTCCACCATCACTGCCATTGCATATGGTTTGTGTTTAGGTTTTTTTACCAGGCTTTTATTTTTTTTAATGTTTTATTTTATTTTACTTTTTTAAGGTATAGAGCAGCTCCTTTCCAAACAGTGGCTTTTTTGCAAGTCTTGAATATGTAGTAAATGTGTTAACAAGCCAGTAATGTGTTCTTCTGTTTTTCAATCATTCTCTATATGCAGATTCCACATGGGAATTTCTGCGGTTGATTCTTGACCTCTCAATGAAAGTTCTGAAACAAGATGGAAAATACTTCACACAGGTATCATATCAGGATGTAACAAAGTATTGCTTTGTATCTATTACAGTTGTGTATGTGCTGCATTTTTCAGTTAAAAAAAGAGGAAAAAACTAAAAATCTACTACAAGCTGGGTTTTTTTCTCCTTTTAATGACTTTAATTTAGGCTTTGCTAACTGACTTATCTTTTTTCATTATTTCAGCTGAATCTGTAGCACTTTTGTCTTGAGTTTAAAAGCATAATTTTAAGAATCAGCAAGACATGTTACAGAATAGTGTAACTGTAAGCAGATTTTGGAAAAACAGAACAGATATACTTTAGAAACAGATATATGGTTTTTAAACTAATGTCTCCATAATGTCTCTACACATTGTAGAGTGTAAGACATGAAAATTCGTCATCCATTAAGGTGTAAAAATTTGAGGTGGGTGCAATGGGACAAGAAAATTAGTCATTTGGGAGTAAATACTCTTTTTGCTTGTTCCCCACTCCTAACACAACTCATTGGTTTGGCCTCTGCAAAACACATTTTGAACATTTGAATAAGTTTGTTTGAATATTTGGCATTTTGTGAAGTATTTTATATAGTCATAATTTAGGTTTTGTCCTTGTGTATGAAATTTTAAGTGCAGCTCTATTTAAAAGGAAATAATTCACAATTTGTATACTTGCCACAGTGTAACAGTATTACCTCATATATAACATCTAGATAATACAATTGTGGATTAGCTTTCAACTGAAGATACTTTATGTAACCCTGAATTTGTAATGCCACAAAGGAGTGTGCAATTGTACAAGAATGTGACAGGAGCCAGCAGATGGTTGAGTGAAGTCTAAGTCTCTGAAGCTGTATTTCTTTAGTCATGCTCATACCTTAACTAGTTTTCTGATGTGTGGAGCATCTGAGTACTGCATTTTGGAAAAATCTTGTTAAGGTCTGAAATAGCTTAGCTGAAATTATGTATTTGAGCTCTATTCCTGTCACCATAGAGTTTCTGAGGTGTGTAAAGGAACTGGTTTACTGTAAAACTGTGCAGGTTTATAAAGAAATGCAAAAGTTGTAGGATAAAACTTTTGGCAGTTCGGATGTGCTGCTTTATTTTGAAATGCTCTGGTTGTAAAGGCAAGAGAAATTATCTTGTGGTTGAAATATAAGATGAAATATCACACTGTAAATCTTAATGGCTTTTCTTCCTCTAAATAGTGGAAATATTTATGACAGACTTTAATATCGAAAGGACACTGCATTTTTTGGGCTGAGCAAGCTGTTATGTTGCAGTCATTGTAGTTGTAACATACACAGTGAGACTAGCTGGCTGTATTAGAATGTATACAAATGTATATCTGTGGACAGGTTTTGTCAGGCTTTGAAGGACTCTGAGAAGAAGCTTGTGCTGAAAGCTGGAGCGATGGCTGTGCTGCAGCAGAAATACATGGGGGTTGTTTTGTGCCAGCTGAAACCAATGGAGGTTGAGACCGGTGCAGCCCTGCTGCCTGTCCTGTCCTGGTGGAAGGAGATAAGTCAGCTCTCCAGCATCTCTGCTTGCACAGAAAGGATGGACAGCAGTACTGAACCAGCCCTGGTGGGTTTAAGCTGTTGTGAAACTGAGTGTTATGTTTCATGGTCCCAAACAACAAAGCATCCATGGCAGGCTGGGAAAGAAACAGTATTAAAGTGGAAGTGGTGTGAATTTGGACTTGTGGGTAACTGGTAGCCAGTGAAAAGACTGGAGTATAGAAACAGTGTACTCTGGAAACTTAGTCTTCCTGAGGGTGTTGAAAAAGGAGAATTAATACTGGAGCAGACAGCTATCAGAGCTTTTGATACATCTACTGATACACTATGCGGCTCATTTGATGGTCCTTGTAGCCTCTTCCCAGTTGGGCCTGAGAAAACAAAACAATCCACTGTAAAAATTGAATAAGGCTGTGTAGTGGGCTTGCATGGCCAGGTTTTGGTAGTGAGTGTGTGTGTGAGGGGGGCTACAGGGGTGGCTTCTGTGAGAAGCTACTTAAAGCTTCTCCCATGTCCTACAGAGCCAGTGCCAGCTGGCTCCAGGACAGACAGACCCACTGCTGGCCAAGACCAAGCCAGTCAGTGACAGTGGTAGCACCTCTGGGATAACAGATTTCTGAAGGGGAAAAAGTTGCTGCACATCAGCAGTTGTAGCCAGAGAGAGAAGGGAGAATATGTGAGAGAAACAGCCCTGCAGACAGTGCAGAAGAAGGAGGAGGAGGTGCTCCAGGTGCTGGTGCAGAGATTCCCCCGCAGGCCACGATGAAGACCATGGTGAGGCAGGCTGTCTCATGGAGCTCCACAGTGGAGCAGAGATCCACTTGCAGCCCCTGGAGGACCCCATGGTGGATACCTGAGGGAGGCTGTGACACCGTGGGAAGCCCAGGCTGGAGCAGGTTTCCTGGCAGGACCTGTGACCCTGCAGGGTGCCCATGCTGGAACAGCCTGTTCTAAAGGACTGCACCCTGTGGAAGGACTCACACTGGAGCAGTTTGTAAAAACTGCAGCCTGTAGGAAGGACTCATGTTGGAGAAGTTTGTGGAGGAGTGCCTCCTGTGGGAGGGACCCCACGCTGGAGCAGGGGAAGAGTGTGAGGAGGAAGGAGTGGCAGAAACATGGGATGAACTGACCACAATCCCCATTCCCCATCCCCAACAGTGCAGCAGGGAGGAGAAGGTAGTGAATTTGTGAGTAAATTAAAGCCCAGGGAGAAGAGAGGGGGTAGGGGAAGGTATTTTTAAGATTGGGTTTTATTTCTTGTTATCCCACTCTGATTTGGTGAGGAAATTAATTGAATTTATTACCAAAATTGAATCTGTTTTGCCTGTGATGGTAACTGGTGAGTGATCTCTCCCTGTCCTTATCTTGACTCACTAGACTTGCACCTTCCTTATTTTCTCTTCCTTGTCCAGCTGAGGAGTGACAAAGTGGCTTGGGTGGAGACCTGGTGTCCAGCCAGGGTCAACCTACCATACCCTCAGAAGACTCAGTAGTCTGGTCATAGGATGAACAGTCTCTTGGGGTGCTTTAAATAAAATCAGCTGTCTATAATTTTAAATTTAAATTAGGTTTTGAATTAAACTAATTGAAGCTGGCTACTTACAGGATTGCATTAGACTGTGGAGAGAAGTTCAAACATGACCACTACCAGCTTTGGCAGCTTAGTCACACACTGGGAACTCATAAATGATTTTGAATGCTCGGCTGTGTTTGCTGTTAAATGCCAGGGGTTTTTAGCTCTGTGTATTAACTTTGGAAATGTAAGTTACTTTTGTTATAACTAGCTACTTCCAGGATGCTTACCTTATGTAGCAGGCCTTGCTGAAGGAATCACATGCCTTTTAAGGCAGTTGTGTTTTTAAAGTACAGGACTCTGTGTGCCCCCCGGGCCTATCTTGAAGTGTGTTTTGGTCCTCTAAAACAAAAAATGTTAAATATCACTGTTAAATGTCCACTTATTTGTTAGAGCCTCATCTTTGCTACAATGAGGAAATGTCTCATAGAAAAGATGCAGCAAAAGGGTCGTTGTCGTGTTGGTTGCTGGTCAGTAGCTATAGTTGCTTCGTCTGCCTTGGCATTATGTTGTATTAACATTGGAAATTTCCTTTGTAGTTTGTAGCCTTGTCCTCTGGTAGTTGCACCTTGAGCAGAACTGTGTGCATCTGGTTAGGATGTAATTTATTTCGGTGCTCAAGAAATGCTTTACCCAAAAGTGGAATTGTGTTCACAGAATGCCAACCTTTCACATACTGTATTGCTGCCTGACTGTCTAAATGCCACTGCTGGGAAAAATAAATGGAAATGCTCATCACCTCTTCATTGAGCTCTGCACAAGTTTTAGAAAATGTTCTGGTCCACACATAAACTGTTAGCTGCCATAATCTAGAGCTGTCTAACTCTAGATAGATATAATTTATCTGAGATCATAAAAAAGAATTATTTTTTTTGGCATGCTACTCTAACACACCTTTTTATTCCCTTGGGATACCTTCCTTGGTGATGCTCAAAGTGGTCTCCAAATGCTAGTGCAGAATATCCTTTCACCAGTAGGTGGAGGCAGGTAACCAGTATTGCCTGGCAGCGTATTAACACTTAGAGAAATCGTGGTTTTTCAGACAATTTATTCATATTCCTAGGGGATAAAAGAACATATGTGGCCAATTTTAGGATGCAGGAGGGACTTTTTCCTTCTTTCAGCTCTGAAAAGATATCAAAGGACAGTTAATGGATGTCATTCTGCTGCTTTTAAGTCTGTGATTAAGTATATTTGGGAAAAAATGCCTCCATATTTGCTCTATGCCTCCACAAATAGTAATCACACTTGGAAAAAAACCTTACTTGTATGAAGAGCAGCCTTGCTTTGCATGTCCTTGTTTTTTTAGCTGCACCACCCATATTGAGTGTTGCAGCCCATAGGACCTGGACAGAGAGAGATGAGCTTTATGGCTTTTAGCCTGCAGAACTTGTAGCGCTGTCTGTAGGTTTAAGACCTAAAGCTTGTTTGTGAGAACTTACTGTTAAACATAATCCCCCTACTCTGAGGTTCAAGGGTCATATGGGATGCTCTATTTCCTTTCTTACTTCTCCTTTTGAAGTGTTTAATGATATAGTGTGGGTGTGTGTCTGTGAGGTGTTTAGTGTTGCCTTCTCCAAGGGGAGCCAGTTACAGGTGCAGGTTCCCAACCATCACAGTGAAGTGGGAGTTGGTGAGGGTGTGAGAACTTGGCGTATCCTGAGGTCCAGTTTTATCTCATACACCTTCCTAGTGACTTGTTTCTGAACACGTTAAGTGTTTTTACAGTACTGGACCTTCTAAAATCCAATGTGATTTTTCGATTGCCCAAGTGATTTCTTTCAAGTGAGAATGTATACTTGTAGATACCAGTGTGATATGTGTAGATACCAGTGTGGCTTTTTTTTTCCCTCAACCATCACTGTCTTGTGCCTTCCTCGTACGATGTGAGGATTGTCCCAACAGCTGTGAAACCATGCTCTGTAAGATGCAGAGACTGATTGTAAGGTTGTCTCTGAGTGTCAGGGGATTATGTGCAGCTAAGAAAATGCCTTTTTCTGTGCTGATTTTTTGTTCTGTTGATCTAATCCTTTGAGGTTGAGAAGGCTATAATTTTCAACCTGTTTATGAAGTGGAACCTTTAAAAATACCTCTGAACAGGAATTTGCTCCTTCCTGGTCTGGGTCATGCAGCCCAGGCAGGATAGAAACTCAGACCACTCATGAGTTTGCGTTCCAGTAAACAGCACTAACCCCTGGTTCAAGGGATCATGTGTCTCCCACGCGCACATGTGGCCTTTCACCAAACCGTCTCTTCCTGACCACTCTTTAATACAGTGTGGCCCTGCCCTCTGAGTGTCCAGACCACCATCATGTTGCTCCATAGTTAGACTCCTTTTTTTGACTGCTGCGTGGGTTTTCTAATTAGCACTTCCAGTGAGGGAGGAAGGTTCTTCTTGACTGCAACGTGAAAGAAGGCTGGGAGAATGGATGTATGTCCCTGTGTGAGCCTCTGTGATTTCTTGGCAGTTTGAGAGACTTAAAGGCACAGACATTTCATTTCCTTATGTTACTGAGAGTACAGTTTTAATAATTGATTTTTTTTGGCCAGTGGAGGTACCTTCAGTCAGGTTTGCCTCCTGTATCTCCGTAAAAGCCATACCTGTCAACCAAAACTCAAGCCTAACTTTGATGCTGGGCGTTTCATGCTCTGTCTGTCTCACTGCTTTTTAGTCACTCTGAAGTGAGGAAGGATAAAACCCAACCTTGGCCATGTTCAGTTTTGGCATGTCATTACAAAACAGAACCCTGTGTTAAATTAAAAATAAAAATGAAAGTTCTCTGGTATATGGTCACAGACAAAGGTGTCCAGTAGCAATGATGTGTAGTGTAAGACATGGAAGAAATGGGCAAGTAAGTAAAACGGACCCTTTCCCCTGCTTTGGCAAATATGGCAAAGGGACTCTTCCACCTGCTTTCAAGTTTCTGGTTTACTTTCTAAGGGTTGGAGGAAGCACAGTGGCCTAAGTTCAGCTTGTAACCAGTTGATGGGCACATCACCTTTATATGTGGCCAAAGTTAACTGGAACTTAATAGGGTTAATTTAAACAAATTCTTTTTTTTTTTGCTACTTATTTTAAGGAATCTTTTTTATTGTCTTTCCAGAACTAACAAAGCATAAATTTGTTATACATTGTGCTGTAAGAAACCTCAGAACTAAACCCATGGAACTATAGAATGTATGCCTTAGGAGAGCCCAGAAAAAGTTGGTGTTGGGGGACAGGCATGAACTGTTGAAGTGTGTGCAAGCACTGAGCAAACTCAGGAGTCATCAGTCTTAAGCAGGTTTTATAAATAGAGATCAGTTAATCTCAAAGTTTAAAACTACCTCAAATACTTTCATGTCAGAGAGATGCTTCTTAAGGGTTAAAAAAAATTTCAGCATTCCCCCAGTTCTTACCTGTCAAATTGTTTGACATGGAACACAGATTAAGAGGGGGCAGGCAGAGGAGTTTGGTAGGGTTTTTGTATATATTGAAAATGGACTGAACAGTGTGGGAGAAAAAGTGATTTTGCTTATTTCTTTGAAAAAGTGTAATTGGTGAGTCATCAGCTTTAAACCTTATTAAGCACTGCTCAGTTTTAGTTTGAGTATTTGGTGTCTGTCCCAAATCTTCGTTCGTGAAGCCTAGCCATGATGGTGATGGTGTCTGTTCAGAACAAATGATGTACTGCTGTACCACATAACTCTTCATTAGGTGGGGGGAGTTAAAATGAAACACCGATCCCTGTGTTACGTTCTGAGCTTGGTTCCCTGTGTCATTTTAGTGATACAAGAAGACTTTTTTTTGGAATTCTTAACTTTGTGTTGAGTAAAGCCAGGTAATTGTAAAAAATTGTAACTGTGCAGAACTATAAAATCCCCTGGTGTGTCTCTAGAAGAAAGAGGTTAATAGAACAGCCAGGTGGGTTGTCTGAGCCTTTAGGCAAGATCTTCATTTGAGTTGTGAGTTTGAAAAGTAAATTGCTTATTGGCATGTTCATTGTTCTTGTAATTTGTTTTCCATGGTGTCTGCAGTGATTTGTCTCCTTCTAGAGAAGGGAGAAATAATGAAATATTGAAGTAACAGGCTGGGAAACTGTGGATACTTTTCTATCATTGTGTATCCTATTCAATTTACTACATAATGTTGGTATACTCCAGAAATTACCTAGCAGTGTTTTCTATTTATAACTCAAATTACACGCAGGTTGTTTTTTAGTTTTCTTTTGCGTTCAGTCTGATGGTGAAACAAAATTATATGTTTGGTAAAGGGTGGCTGAACCAAAAAAACTGCCACAATCCCCTGGATAATAACAAGTTACTAAACAAGTACTACAGCAGTGTTCATTGTTGTGCTCAGTTAGTGTTAGTCTCTTACTTTTTTACAAACCTCATTTGTTTTCTGGTTTCCAAACCCAAATACGAAAAATTCAATATAAAGTGTCATCTTCCTTTACCAAATAAAAAAGTACATGTTTCTTTGTGCAATATGATCAAAATTATAATCAAACATGTTTTATGGAAGTTATTTTGAAAAAGGGCTTTCAAAATTATGATTTTCAAAAACTCATAGAATAAAATAGAATCATAGGATATCACTAGATGAAAGGGACCCACAGTAATCATTGAGGTCTAACTCCTGGCCCTGCACAGGACAGCCCCAAGAATCACACCATGTGCCTGAGAGTGTTGTGGAGATGTTGTGTTAAGATTTTTTAAGTTGAGGTTTTCTTTTCAACTTGTGAAAAATTGTGCACAGTGCAAAAAATACATTGAGCAGGATGTGAAAAATTCAGAGGAAGATTTGTAGGATGAAATCTCTTTTCACTTCCTCTGGAAATAGAAATATTTTAAATACATTGTGAAAAAATCCTACTAATAAAAAGTAGGAAAAATAGTATAAAACCCAAAGACAGAATGTGCATTTTACAGTTCGATTCTAGTTATCATCTGATGTTGTTACAAGGAAAAAGCAATGTAGATGGAGCTGTTTAGACATACTGATTTCAAATAAGATCTCTGCTTTTTTGGCCTCTGCCTGTTAACCGTTGTTTTAAAGAGTGCAGATAGTATATGTTGGTCAAAAGCATTTTAGTTCCTTGCTTCCTTCCTTACACACATCTGTGTGTGTGTAATTATTTTAAGGCTGTTTTTAAAAATCTGAGAGCACCAAAAAGCAGGAAACAGAAAATGAGTCTTTCTTAAAGACTGTTCTCTTGGTTTTAAAAGTTTCATAGTGTGCTAACAGAGAATTACATGTGTGAAACATAAGTAGTGCAGACATTTTGGAAGCATTGAATGAGTCTTTGGTTCCTGGGGTCCCATAGAACTTGACCTTTGTTTCAAGTTAGAGGTCTTAAAACATTGAATAAGCTGTGACTGTAAGGGAGCTTGAGTTTTTTACTAGATTTAGCTCTTTTTTTAATTGAACCGTCTGCATTCTTTTACACTCAGGTTCAGGTTTCACACATTATTGAAGAGCAGGAAGGGACAAGATTATAGTGTATTCATTAGCATGACGGTTTCCTTTTTGTTCTCCTTTTTATCTTCTGTGGTAAATGTTCCTCCACTAGAAGTGGAAAACAAAAGCTGAGTAGTTTGTAGACCATGCAGTGGTGACCACATTCAACTTTGCTTGGTTTTAAATTAGCGTCCAAATAACTTGCATTGGCCGCACTCTTAAGATAATTGTATTTAAGATCATTAAGTATTTACTAGTCTACTCAGTTATATAGGTAAGAGAGGCAAGAAACTTTATAAAGATTTTGTATTTATTCAACTTACACAATTAACTTTTATTGCTTTGGGTGGTTGGTGTTTGTTCAGTCTGGTGTTCTGTGAGCTCACTGTTACCACTAAATCTTCAAACCCATTATAGATATGGAGAATTCACTCTTCTAACTAGAGTTTTCTCTATATGGGCATCCCACATATATGCTGCAGTAACTTCTGCTTGATAATAATACTTAACTTGGGACAAGATAGTGCTTGCAATTAGGAGTTGTTTTGGGTGTGGGTTTTTCATTTGTTTGGGGTTTTTTGTTTTTAAATTCCTCACGCTTTGTAATCCTTGAGATGTGTTTGTGCTTGGTATTTCATAGTTCCACTGTAAGAAGAAAATTGTCAAAGCATTGATTTTTATTTTGTTCAGAAAAGGATACTACTAATATGCGTAGACGAATTAAGTCATGGATCTAAGTGGAAAAAAAAGTATCATAAGAATCACTTCCTTTTCAGAAGCACAATATGCAGAAACTTAAGACAATGTACCCCGAAGCCAGGCGAGAACTTCTATATAATCTGATCTATTTTGTTATATTGCTGTGTTTAAAATGAATAGGCTGTGTTTTTTTTAATAGTACATTTAAACATTGTAAGATCTAGGCAATGTTAAATAATTGAGAAAATCTGGATGTTGTAATACTGTTTACTAATATACTTAAGCAATCATAAAGAAAATGATTACTGAGTAGACGTTATAGGTAAACACCACATGGTGGTCTGTTTTAACTGAAAGCCCTAAATATAAGGGTTGCTTCTGCTAATGAGGATATAGATAATCTCTCCATACTTTCTCTTTCTTGAAAAGATACAAATTATTGTTTGCTGTAGGCAAAATGAAGACAAGCTGTTCAGTATTTGCTTTGTAAATATTAAATATTAAGAACAGCATGTATCTGGTTCTGAAGTATGTGGGAGCCTTGCAGTAATGTCAAAATGTATATATTCAGCTGAAATTTTGCTTTGATTTTGACTGGGACTTTTCTTTTTTTTTCTTCAGGGAAACTGTATAAATCTGACTGATGCCTTGACTCTGTATGAAGAACAGCTTAGCAGGCTTTATTGTCCTGTGGAGTTCTCAAAAGAAACAGTGTGCGTTCCCTCCTACATGGAATTGTATCCTTAAAGAGCGAAAGAAACCAGAGACTGTGTATTAATAAATCAAGCAAGTCTAGATTGCTTGGAGGTAATGAACTCAAGCACAAGAAGGAGTTCTAGTTTAAAATCACTATTAATGTTTTTTTCATAGCAAATGAACTACTGCAGTTTTATTTTGAGGGTTATTGCAGGAATTGTTTTCTAAAGGTGCCATAAATTCACAGCTGAGGAAATGATCAGCACCTTTCAAGATCGGGCTGTGTTTTGGTTAATGTTTTTGACTGTTTCCAAGTTTATGTGATGTAGGATAAACTGTATGATAAAGGTAATGCTGCCAGCGAGTTCAGACAAGGCTACATCTTCTTCCTTTCTTTTTTCTTTTACAAAAATAAGAATCTTCATACAGATGACCATGATCCAGATCTTTAAATATTGGCTGATAGATCTATTCTTGAACATGCAGCTGAGACGTGATTTTTAAGGCTGGAAAGGGGGGAGGATAGTGATTCCTAACAATCATTACTAATTAGTGTTACTAAAAAAAATATTCCAAGTGGCAGGGTATACATATTTCTTGGCAACATGTCATTCCTAAAAATAGTCCTTCAGAATTTCTTCAGTTTGTGAGTGGCAGGCAAGCTAAAAGTTTAAACTTCAAGCCATTAGCTCAAGTGGTACATTTTGATCTGCTGGCTGCATTTGACTTGAGTGTTTACTGCTATCGTGTGATCACCCTGGAAATGTTTCTGAAGGGTAATGCCTGCTGTGGTTGTCTCTCTTGACAGGAGGCATCCTTCCAGGATTCTGCATATTCATAATACATTAAGCATGTGATACTGTCCCAGCCTTTCTTCTGTGTGTTCATTTTGCCTCCCTTCTCTGGATCTCAGTACTGTTTAATGCTGGAACCTGCTGCTCTGGACTCCTTACTGACTATAGCAAGCTCCTCCTGTTTCTCATTATTGTCAGCTTTCCTGTGAAACTCAAATCTGACCTTACATTTTCAAGACAAAAGAGCATGAAGGAGGATATAAAGATACCTGCCCTTACAGCTTCAGAAAAACAGGTTGTTTTTGTCTTTACAACTGCCAGGCCTTAAAGCAACATGCCTTGAAGTAGGCATCCTTGAACTGCTGGTCAAAAAGAGAATCCAGGGAGAGTTCAATTTTGAGTGTTTTACCTACTCTATGATCTACCAGAGGTTTTCAGAATTGAAATATTAAGTAAAGAGAACTATTTCCATTTTAACTGTGCACTACAAACTTTGACTTTTTTTTTCCCTTAACTGCTTATTTTCTCCAGATGGGTATTCTACACTATTTGGAAGAAGCAAACTGACATCTGAACATCAAGATTGAGATTATCCTAAATGTACATGCTGCATGGAGCATATAGGCCTACCACATGCTGCATATTGGCATCTTGAACCTTTAAATTATATGCTGTAGATGATCCTGAAACTTAGTCATGCTATTGATTGTGAATTCTTTAAATGTTTTTTTATTATTATTTTAATTTAAAAGCAAATGGAAAATGTATATTTTGACGAGCTAGGGTGTTATTTTTGAAAGTCAACTTAAAGATGAATAAGCAGCAAAACTATATAGCTGCTGACTGCACTGAACCTTTAGAATGTGATCCTTTTTATTTTTTTGTAGATCTTCACAAACTGATTGATTAAAAAAGACATCTTTAGCATTTCATCCCTGAAGGGTGGTCCATGGAGTTTGTTTTTGTTTTTTCCAACAGATTTTTCATCTGTGGTGCTTTTCAAGGTTGGAGAGGGTTTTTGTTTGGTTTTGGTTTTTATTTAGTTTTTTAAATGAACAATGCAGTGCTTCCATATAGAGAAGGGCATAATTAAAAAGAAAAATTTCGTTTATTTACTCTAGTTTCATTCATCATAATCTCTGCTGCAGGAGAAGAATCTTTGACCTTTCACCTCCTGGAATTCTTTGGCTACTGCCATATTGATTATTTGGATTCTGATATGGATTTAACAGTGGGTTATAGCGGCACTTTGAACTGTTTAAGCATGAGGATCAAAGCTGGTTTTCCATCCCACCACAAGGCAAGAAATTGAGTGCAGTGAGGTTTTCTCACTCTCCCCAGCCTTATGGGAAGCATTAGATTTCTGAAGCAAAGGTTGCTTTAGAGGGTGAAGAAATGTGGATGTGACCCATCTTTATGTGCCCCTGTATTGAATGTTTTGAGGCTTCAGTAGGGGAAGTCTTAGTCGTATTGCCACAGATTGACCATGTTGTGCGAGGTTCTTGCTGAATTAGATTCACTTTCAGTATAAAAATCAGTGGAAGCTAAGATTGCATTGTAGTTCCTCCGAAAGACAAAGCATTTTTCTTAAGCAGTTTCTCATGTTGTCTAAAGTTATATTTTTGTAAGAATTTGCTATGTGTTGACTAAAACATTTATTTCAGTGTTTAAAAATCCCACTTGAAAATAGATAGGAAGGATATAACCATTCTGTGCATTTCTGTATTTTTCCGGGATAGAATAAAAACTGCACTATTTCCCTAAACACTCTAATCCTGAAAAATAATGATTTTTTTCCATTCAATACCTAGTATCAGCATTTTCTTAGTTTTATTGGAGAGAGTTGATTTGCCCTCCCAAGATACTGTTAATGAATAAAAAAAAAAAAAGCTATCCTTAATCTGTATTCTTAAACCATACATAAAGAAAAATTTTATTGCATCCCACATATATAAACTGTTCATGGAATCCAAGTAGCCTCTCTAGAATTCCAGATTGATACCAGAAAACTTGCAAAAATTTGCTCTTTGTTTGGTCTATAATTGGTGTATAATTGTTAAAATATTTTCAGTTGGGAGTGCCCATAGAAACATTCTTCAGTCTTGCTGTTTTAAATTATTGCAGTTAATTCTCCAGTATACATGGGGCATAGTTCTTCCTTGGCCTACAGCTTATGCATCCCTAAATACTCCCAAAGAGCAGAGCTTCCCTCTAAAAGGGAGAAAAGTGCATTTCCCTGAGGTTTTTAGCTCTGTTGTGTGCATCCCAGAAAATACCTTTATAGTATTACCTGTAACCTAGTAGTGACCCTTCATTTATGATACAGGACTGCAATCAGTATATTGTATAGCTGCAAATGAGTGCAGGTGTCCTATAAACAGATAGGTGTATCCATAAGTTTGCAAGCATGAATATCTCCATTGATTCTTAGTGTGATTACTCATGTAGGTGAAATTAAGCACACAGGCACTCACTGGGACAGAGCCTACAGCGTCTGTGTTCCCAGGTGAGCCTGGCAGATGTACAAATCAGTCACAACAAGTGGAGGTGGCTTGTTTTTTAGCAAGGAAACTTGTGAACTGGAAGATGACTTGATCTACTTGCTGTACCAAGGCTTGTACTTCCCTTTAGCATCACTGCTCAGGGCTGCCTGAGCACAGAGAGCACTTGGGTGTGCAGGGATGTTCTCTAATGATTCCCAGATTGACCAGGGGACCTGAATCGCATATTAATAGGTGAGAGGCAGCAGTGCTTGCAAACTTTTTCTTTTCAACTGATTAAATTAAAAAAAAAAAGAGAGAGTTGGAGGAATTATTTTTATTCTTTAAACTTTTTTTAAATGTAGTTTTTTTGAAGTGATAGATGTAGTATAAAGCAATTCAGCAAACACTGAACATTATATTTTTTTAAGTTGCTGAATTGATTTTGAGCAAATATATACACACTGTCGATCCTTATTTATTTGTTGCTGTAGTGTAGATTTTTTTAAAAGAAAAACAAGTCTGTATTAGAATTTTCAAATGCAAACTGCTACAGCTGATGGGTTTTCCATGTTTAAGGCCAGTTGGGAAATAGCTAGGATTGCTGCACTATGTATGCAAACAGTTCCCAAGATACGGTTAACATTAGAGGTTTCTTAATTATTCTTTGCACTAAATGCTGCTTCCACCTAGAAGTTACTTGATTGATAGTAGTTTGTGCAAGGAGAAGACTGCTGGCGTTGTATCTACTGCATCAGTGCAGTGCACATGTTAAAATAAAGGTACGCTGTTATTATTTGTGTGTTTGAATCGTTAAATCCACTGTGGATTCAGTGTTAAAATGATGGAATTGATGGGTATGATGCTTAACATTGTACCTCTTTTTTCCTTTTCACATGACAAGCATGAAGGTACTTCATGGTCTTTTTACTGAGTATCTTTTCTGTCTCAGATCAATACATTCAGTGATTTTTCATATAATAAATGCTCAGATAAGAAACTCTCTAGTATGGAGTCGCACACTGATACTTGCAGTGGAGAGAATCACTTGAGCCTTCAGTGATATTTGCCTAGGAAGCATTAAGTTTCTCTGGAGTGCTGTAGATAGGAATTTGGAGGTTTGTAAGTGTAAGTTTTAGTTTTTCTGCTAAAGTGGCAAATTGGCTTTGGGTGGCAGTGTGACTCGTGTGACAGAAAAAAGACAGGCTTGGGAGAAGTCAGTAAGACATGGAGAGTGATGGAAGTTGGCACAGAAGTTTGAGGAAGAGGGAGAAGGGCATGAACAGGATGGGCACATGGAAGAAGTTATTAATCTTTTTGAATCACACCCCAGAGTAATGTCAGAGAATGAAAGAAATGTGACTTCTAAAAAATGTAGATTTACATTAGTTCCAACTAACTGCAAAGGAGAAGTATTTACATCTGCATTAAGTACAGTGATAGCAGAAGGCTTGATAGTTGGGAACAAGAAGGGGGAAGGCATAACTTTTTGAGGGGGAAAAAAGTCTCCACAGACTGAGGCCAGGATAAAGAGTAATTTTGGAACGCCTACATGCACGACACAGAACATAGGTACCTCTTGCTATTTTATTTTCGCTGTTTGAGAATTTGAGGTGTTGACAGTTTGCTGGAGGGAACAAGGCAAAGGGACAAGTGAGAGGAAGAGAACTCAATTTCTTATTTTAATTTAGGAATAGGAGACTGCAGATGATGTTGCCTATGGGTAATAGGAGGAAGCTGACACCTTGCCCACAGAGAAAAGAGTAGTTGGAGTCATTAGAAATGCTGAAGGAGCAAGTGAGAGAAGTAGCAAAGTAAACAAGTGCAAGAGTGATTAATAACATTGAGTAACTTAGAAGTACCTTTTTGAAATGTGGATTGCTTTAGGAAGCAAGGAATGAGAGGTGTCAAATGGGAACTGGAAGGATGTGAAGAAGTGTATACAGTGGTCATACATTTCAATGAACTTCAGAGACAGAAATGGAGAAGGTAGAAAGGAGTGTGAAATGCACTTCATAATTGGAAGTGATGAGAACTCCTGTGCAGTGTCAAGGGAAGAAGGGATGCAGGCCTAAGAGCCATTAAGATGGAAAGGAACTGGGAGAATGAGCCAGGAGGAGGAACCAGAAACGGGACAACACAACAGATGTGGTGTGGGGATTTGGGGAACACATCTGGACATACAAAAAAAGGAGTGCCAGTCACACTGCCCTCTTGTCCTTTGAAGGTACCGGATGGAGAAGGAGGAAAGATTGAAAATGTTTGGATTTGTTTTGTTGTTTGTTTTTTTTAAGTGAGTAATGATTGCAAAATGGCTTCCAAGTATTTCAGGAGGTAAAGAACTTAGCTGCTGGAAGCTAAATGATGACCAAAAGGAAACTTCAGATTAAGGAATGTTTAAGGGTAGACCGATTCCCTGTGCAAATAAATACAAACTTCATGAAGCCCAAAGGAAAGGCAACTGTGGGATTTAATCGTCATGAGTTGTTATTCTGAGCATGGAAGGGTGGAAGGCAGAAGCACCCCAGCGGCATCTCTGCTGTCTTCAGCTCATGGATCTGGAAAATCTGATCAGAACTGGAAAATGAATGAAAATAACTATAACAAAAAGCGCTGCTACAGCCATCTGACTTCGAAGTGCCATGACAAGTTCATTGTGTGTTACTTGAGAGGATGTTCCATGACCTCAGTTATGAATGCACAGCACAGTGTGCCATACTGCCTGTTCAGCACTGTTAGTATGATCTGCCTTGGAAAACCCAAAGACAGAAGTATTTTACTGATGTATAATGGAAACACCTTTGCGCAACTGTTCTTTGTATAGACATAAAAGCACCAATGGAATAAAACAATAGTTTTAGTAGATGAGAATAACAAAGATGAGACTGTACAGCTATGTGAAGCCTTTTGTTCTGGTAGCTGCTAATGTCATCCAACACCTCTCCATTTAACTTTAGTTTATTGTCAAAACTGATGTTTCTGCTTTTAAAAATTACTTTATTTTACTCTGAGCTTTGTCCAAATTCTGCTTTTAAGCTTCACACTGGGACATCTCTTGTAGCACTTAGGTGTTTTCAGTTATGTTTTATAACCTCTGGTTAGTTATTTGGGATGGAGGGATGACAGGTTTCTTTCAGGAAACAAATTTTCGACAGTTCATTGTTTCAAATCCCAGTGAAGACTGACAGAATAATTATAGGAACATGCCTTGACTTCTGGTTTTAGAAGGGATAGAATACTGTTAGAAGTTTTTACCTGTGTCTTGAAGTAAAGTGTTTCTACTACTATTACAAAGTTCTTACCATATATATAAAATATAACAGTTAAATACTAGGGAAAGGGAAGATATCTGCTTGAAATTTCTGTCCACTGGTTTGCAGACAGCCACGTACCTGAAGTTATAGTTGAGATGCACTTAATAGAATCATTAAGATAATCAAGTCCAACCATTATCCTAACACTGCCAACACTAAACCCTGTTCCCAAGTGCCACATCTACTCCAGGGATGATGATTCAACCACTTCTCTGGGCCACCTATTCCAGTGCTTGACAACCCTTTCAGTGAAGAAATTTTTTCTTAGTATCCCAACTAAACCTCCCATGGCACAAAGTAAGGCCATTTCCTCTAGTCTTAATGCTTGTTACCTGGGAGAAGAGAGTGACCTCCACCTCACTACAACCTCCTTTTAGGTAGTTGTAGAGAGCAATAAGGCAATAAGATCTCCTCTGAGAAGGGGCTGAGAAGGTCACTCTTGATACAGGTAAATGGGTATCTTTGGCCCAGGTGTCCAGGCTTGGCAGTGGTGGAGCTGCAGGAGTACCTGAGTGAGAAGAGGCAAAATGCTGCATTGTGGAGTGCATAAAGAAATGTGAGGAGCAACCCTGCGACCAACAAGGTGAGAGGAGGGGAAAATGTGCTCTAAGTACCAGAGGAGAGATTTCCCTGCTGCCCTTGGGCAGGACTCAAATGTAGCAGGTGCTTCCCTGCAGCCCCTGGAGGGGACTGTACCAGAATAGGGATCCACACTGCTGTCCACAGGACCCCACACTGGAACCCACAGATATTTCGTGAAGAAACTGGAGCCCCTGTGGCAGCAGGTTTATCCTGAAGGACTGTGGCCCTTGGGAGGGATCCCATGCTGGAGGGGGGGGAAATGTAAGGAAGATGGAGCAGCAGAGAGAAGCTGGTGGTGTTGACTAAGCACAGTCCTTGCTGTGCTGTGCCCTCAAGGGAGGGGCAAAGAATCAGGAGGATTGGAACTGAGCCAGGAAGAAAGGCTTGGGGTGTGAGGGGTGTTTTCACTTTTCTCTTTGTTGCACACTTCCCAGCATTTTTAATTGGCAACAAATTCAACCAGTTTTTCCCAAGTCTCTCTTGGTTGCTGGTAAGTGATGAATGGAATGGAATATCTCAGCTGGAAGAGACTTAAAAAGGAACATCTAGTCCAACTTCGTGACCACTTCAGAGTGGTCAAAAGTTAAAGCATGTTGTTACAGGGCATTGCCCAAATGCCTCTTAAATGATGATAGGCCTGGGGCATCCATGACCTCTCCAGGAGGATGGAAATTTTTCTTAGACATCCTTTAGTTGTTAATGCATTTATACATAGACATATCCTGGAGGCTTGATGATCTTAGCACATACGTGGCACACTGTGTTTTGATTATGCATTCATTATGGTTTTTATTGTCCCAGACACTGGGTTGTGAGCTGTGATGCTGAAGGTACCTCAGAAGCAGAAGGCTGACCCAAGATAGCCCAAAACCTTATGGTGCAAGGGATATGGGGCTAGCAGGTGGTGGACTGCAGTCCAAACCACTTACATCCTATCACATACATGGACTTTTGCATCAAAGTTGTCCAGGCTGTCACTTGCATGTCTAATAGTGCAAAACATTACATGATAGTGTCACGTTCCAGCTCCCCCCAATGATCTATACCAGTTCTGACAAAAATCAAATTGCCTTAACATAGAGGTGCCTTACAGCCAGTGTGGAGCCCAGACCGTATCTGAGATGTGGAGAGCTTGCTGCTGAGTACAATCCAAAGCCATCAAGATGTAGAATGGGAATGATTGTGCTTGTCTATCCTACCCTGTATGCACACAGTTGGGTCCTTTTGCTGTGGGTACTGTTTGCACCTGGGCAGTAAGGAGAGAGCAGTCCAAGAGCACTGGATGTATTAGGCCAACTCAGATGTGAGGTGGAGTGCTTGCCCAGAGCCTCCCTTCTAGAAGTGCCAGATGCAGGAGACAGAGCTGCAGGACAGGGAGAGGGACAAAAATCAGACTGGTGGCTGTGGGTAGACGTCTATTCTCACCACAAGGGAAGTCTGCAGTCCGCAGACTGTTTATGGAATCCCTGCTGGTAGTGGGTGCATGAGACAGTGAACACAGGTCGCCTGGATTCTTCCATATGCAAGCTGCAGGAATGCCTCCCTGGAACATATTTTACCTTTTTTTTATTTTTTTTTTAAAAAAGGGTAATAGTTTAGATGTAAGTTGACTCAGAAAACAAACAAGATAAGAGAGGAATTTAGTGATTGTCAAGGTAAGTAAGGCAAGACAGCCTCATTAAAACTGAGGAGTCCAAACCCTTTTTAAGCTGCTGACTGCCTAGCCTGGAGGCATGAAGATATTGACAAGTTTTGGAACTTCTGAAACAAAAATATAAGTTGTTTTCTTGAGCTAAATCTGAAGAGTCAAACTACTGCTGAAGCCTTTCTGTTGTAACGTGTGTCTTTAGTACATGGGTCATGCTAGAACAGTTTATGCTAGAACTATTGTAAGAGCTTG